GCCCGAACAATCGCACAGGTTTTAAAGAATTGAAATTGATTTCTTTTCTGGCGTTGAAGTCGATTGATCAGGGAGTGCACAGTGCTGTGTTGTGTTCAGTGGTCGACATGTGTGCGAACAATGGATGTTGACACACTGATAACTGCCGTTTTTAAAAGTCCCACTATATGGGATAAGCGACGAGAAGACCATGCCAACAGAAATGGAAAAACATCAGCAAAGAAATGAATATTGAAGGAAAACAATGCAGGCTATTTTCAAGCAAAGAGACAACGAATCAATGATGACCAGTACAATGAACTGTTGGAGATAGAAAAAAGAAAGTTTGAGTACTTTGAAAAGAAGACAAGAAAAGATCCAGACCCTGAAGATGATGATCTCTTGTTTATGAAATCTCTGTTGCCTTTCACAAAAATTATTCCTTCCGAAAGGAAGTAGCATTTCAGAAGACGCATTCACGATGTGGTGGCAGAGTTTGTCTTCGCCAATAATCCAATTAACATGCGACCTTCACAGAGTAGGGTCTCAATCTCATGCTATAACACACCAACAATGTTGCATTATTAAAGCCATCATAGCAGCAGTGAATCCACACCATCTTACTACACCAGCACTTGCGCATCTTCAGCCTCTCCACGCAGTTATCAGTCATATGATTCTGAGGCGGCCCAATCGAGCTACAACTTAAACTACTAAAATAACTTGGTCACAAATAACGTTTTTATGCAAACTTAAGAAAGAAAAATTACATTCAAGCAGAAGTGAGAATAAGATAATATTTTTTATCATAATCACAATTTATTATTTTAAACACCTACATGCTTGTTTGATTAAAATACTTCCGCATTTTCTAAGTGCACCACAAATTGACCCGGCGCTTGGATTAATTTCCTAGCACTTGAATCTCTCTCTATGGACATACCGTACCCTATAATGGTATTGAGACAGCAATTATTGAACTTTGAAGCCTTTTCATGTGGGATTCGCAAAGTCCCTCAATGTAATATTGTTAAACAGTGATCACCATGATGTATGAAGACGTGAGGTGTGTGTGTGTGTGTGTGTGTGTGTGTGTGTGCGTGTGTGCGTGCGTGCATGCTTGTGAGTGTGTTACATTTTACTTTTACTCCATATTTTGGATAAACACAAAGTCATGTATCGGCACTAGATGGACATCTGAAGAAAAAAAACTGTTGTGTAGAAATTCAAGTTAACAGATTAGGATTAAATCGAACACATCAATCTATCTAAATATCTATTCAGTAAGAGTAGAATAATCATGGCAAGGTATATTTTATATAAATTTCTTCATGGCAAGATATATTTCTACACCTTTTCATTCAACAATATAACTCAAAGCTCAGTTCTACAGACAATAACAGCAAGTCTGCACTTGAAATGTTGCATATATTATCAACTAATCAAACCTAGGTATAGGCAGTTACGGTCGCACATGAAAACATTCATGTTGATTCAAACAGATGAGTTATTGGGCATAAATAGCAAGATATTACAAGAAGCCACACAGCTAAACCAGTGCACTCATACACATTTCTAATAATAACACATTTTCAACAAATCGCTTTTCATGTGGGCTTCAAAAGTTACCAATGAATAAAAGGTCAAAGCGTTCTGTATTGTTCTTGAATACATTTATATTGCAGACTGTTCATGTTGTACTGTGGGCTGAAAGACCTGCAATTGACTTCACCTTTCATCTGCACTCCTGTTCAAATTTATGGCAGTCAAAATGTCATTGAAAAACAAGCCTCGGAAAAACATGTGTAACAACTTTGTCTTGGACTGCTAGAAATAATAGTACATCAGAGGGTAAAATGGACTTTGATTGTTACAGAAAGCATATTTCTGCAATTTTATATATTTGAATTCCAATTTGATAGTAGTGCTGAAAGTGTTGTTAAGGTAAATTGAAAGTTTTTGTTTTGTTTGCCAAGTAAGATGCTTATCAGTACATCCGAGTGCATTTGTCCATAAAGAGCCTGATGTGATATTTTCTAAAATATACAACTTGCAACATTTAGAATACAAAGAATACAACTTGCAGCTTCTAGAAGTATCGTCAACATTTTGCTCTACCCTCACCACACATCATCCCCACTACAACTTGCAGTTGGTAGAGATGTCAAAGTATCTGCATTTTGGGTGCCTTTTCTCTCCTCTCTTCCCTACTCCCCCATACAAGCTGGAGCTGGTAGAAATGTGAACATTATGGTTGCCTATTCTCCTCCTCCCCTACAACTTGCAACTAGTAGAAATGTCGGCATTTTGGCTGCCTACTCTCTCCACACCGGCACTACAGCTTGCAGCTGGTAGAAATTTCAGCATTTTGCCTGCCTGTTGCCCCCCACCCTCCCCCCCAAGATATTTATTTTATTTTTCAGGTAATATACTACCTTGTTGAATTTACGCAAGACCTTGACAGACTTGGCCGTTGTTCCACCTGCATTATTCCCTCTGCTTGGCTGGAGGGTCAGGAACATTGCTGGTGGCCTCCATATGCAGTCAGTAAAGCTCACATTAGAAAGAACAGACTCCCGAACAAAGAGACTTGGCAGAAACATGAGATTCAAATACTTTTTGCGAGTGGTAATCACTGTGCTTAACTTGAAACAAGAACAGCAAGAACAACAGACACCATTCTCTGGTCAACGCAAGAGTACATATCCCATGGACAGCTAGAAAAACAAATGAAGAAGTCTTGGTTGAAGCAAATTGTAGAAGACAGCTTATGACGAATATAAAAAAGCGACAGGCAAATTTCTTCAGACACACAATGCGGAAAGAAGCATTGGAGAATATTGTAACAACAGGCAAGTTTGATGGAAAGAGAGGCAAAGGCAGACAAAGGGAAAAGATACTGGACAAGAGGACAACATGGCTAGGAGCAGCAAGAACAACAGACACCATCGCTGCAACGCAAGACAGAGTGAAGTGGAGGTCCATTGTCGCCCACGCCAGTCCGCAAGACACTGGATGATGATGAATGTACTACCTCATTGAGTTTACTCAAGAGCTTGACAGACTTGGCCGTTGTTCCACCTGCTGTATTCCCTCTGCTTGGCTGGAGGGTCAGGAACATTGCTGGTAGCCTCCATTTGCAGTCAGTAAAGCTCACATTAGAAAGAACAGACTCCCGAACAAAGAGACTTGGTAGAAACACGAGATTCGAATACTTTTTGCCAGTGGGAATTACTGTTCTTATCATGAAACAAGAACAGCAAGAACAACAGACACCATTGCTGTAATGCAAGACAGAGTGAAGTGGAGGTCCATGATCGCCCACGCCATTCGGCAAGGCACCAGATGATGATGATGATCTAGAAATAATTCATAAATTTTTTTTTTATAAGTGTACTTTGGAATGGCATTCATCTAACTTACAATAGGAAAAGAATCATTTTTGTCGGATTTTAGCTGTTCTCAGCTAGAGTATTAATGAACAACTTTGCATGTTTAGCCTCTGGTCAACGTATCAAATTTAGTATTACTGATCGTTTTATTTTTATGTAGCCTATTTATTGAACTGTTGAGCTGCCATTTTCTATCACAACTTAAACGGTAGGGTTTTTTGAGCATGTATGTATATTATATTCAACATTTTTTAGTTTGGTTTGGGGTTTTGCTTTCCATAATTCTTTTGAATGTTCATCTCTTCCATGGGATTATCATACCTGCCAACATTGCCTGGGCCAAAATCTGTAGTTGGACGCAAATTTTTGTCCAAAATTCTGTAGTTGACCTAAAAAATCTGTAGTAGGCTATATTACCTCTTGTCGCATACTTAATTTGGGACCCTTATCAATATTTTATTTTGACCCACATCAAATATGCATGATTGTGTTTGCGACTTCAAACAAATGTAGAAAATGACAAAGAACCAAAAAAAAAAAAGACAAATATGAAAACTACCAGAGGCATTTACCCTACTAGTAGTTGGTGCAGTTCCTGTCCTATTCATACCTGCATGAACACACACAAATGAAACCAAAAAACCCCAACCCCCCCCCCCCCCCAAAAAAAAAACAGAACCAAAGAAGAAAAGATGAAGAAAAGGTGGGCCTTGGATGACTTAGGCCTAGCCTTGGTCTTTTGTCTTTGCAGAGTTTACAAGGAAAGAGTATGACGGATCCCGAGTCCACACAAGGCCTGCACCAACACGCGTTTTGCAGAGTTTTCTAGATCTAGATCTAGTGGTAATAAAAAATTTTGAATACTAAAATTTGCATCCAAGTTCAGTATTTGTCCCCTGGTGTTGCCTTCACCCCCCCCCTCCCCCGAGTGTATCTTTTAAAAAAATAGTCCTCCCCCCATTCCGGAGTCCTATACTACGCAGCGCTCAGACTTTGAATGAACTTTGGTGACCCCTACAAATGCCGGTTGTCACAATGTGATGGAACGCGCAAGTTCATTGACCGGTCACAATGGCGAACCCGACAAGACGCTTGTATATATAACTTTCTTTTCTTTTTTTTCACAAGTGACAACACAGGACAAATATTGATTTATTTTCAGGGCGACACAGCGTTTGCCATGCACAGCCTGCATGTTGTTACAATTAATGTTGCGTTATCAAACTACTACCAGCAAATTTCTGGGTGGTAACGAAAGTGAAAGTATTTATCTTGATTATCCCGATCAAACGTAGGTATCACACCCGCTTGCCACCATAGCCGCCTGTCTGCATGAAGAAACATACTCTCGAGGGAGCCGAATGAATCACAATCGCGACCGGCAAAAATGAACTTACGGGCATTATAATCTGATTTGTTTTTCAAATATTCTATAACTTTCTCAAATTCCCGGGTAATTCCCGGGGCCTGGCAGTCACCCTGCTGAATCCTGAAGTCGGTGGCTTCATCTCAAAATCGGTGGATCGGTAGTTTGACCCAAAAGTCGGTGATCTACCGATTTTTTCTGTAGGGTTGGCAGGTATGGGTCACGATGGCGAGCCCGACAAGAAGCTTGTATAATTTTTTTTCCTTTCTTTTTTTTTCACAAGCGACAGCACAGGACAAATGATTTATTTTCATGACGACACCGCGTTTGTAATACAGAACCTGTCGTTACAAATGTGGCGTTATCAGACTACTTTAGGCCCGACCGGCAAATTTCTGGGCGGTAACGAAAGCGAAAGCAGATCTTGATTTTCCCGATCGAGCTTTGGTATCGCACATACACTTCCACTAGTTGCCGCCATAACCGCCTGTGCGCGCGTAACGTACTCTCAGGCCGGGAAAAGCCGAAAGGATAATATTATATCACAATCGCGACCGGCAAAAATGAACTCAGGGGCCCCCGGGATTCCCAGGTCCTGGCAGTCACCCTGTACACGTGTTCCTGTCTGATCTGGCAAAATTCAAGGAGTTTTCAAGGACATTTTTCCTTGAATGCAAATTCAAGGAGTTTTCAAGGAGATTTTTCCTGGATTGCAAATTCAAGCAGTTTTCAAGGACTCCTTGAATTCATTGAGGCCGCGGGAACCCTGATATTAGAAAAGCTGGTTGCTCTTGGTCTTGTTCCAAAGGTCCTGATCTGTGACTAAGGGACACACAACAGAGCTGTCTTTCATAATCTTGATGCAAAGGAATTTCGAATCTGAAGAACACATTGATCTAGATCAAGTTCGACACCAAAATCTCAACTTTTCTCCAGAGCACATCGACCCCTGGTGTTCAACTAGACCTGAAGATGCATTGGTGTGAGGAGGAGAGGCACATCCACAGGCAGCAACATCCCCTCGGGAGTGGTGGAGGAAGCACTCCTCACTGATGCCACAGCTCCAAGAAAGAGCTACGAAATTTCTTTGCTGCCCCGCAACAAGCGTTCCATGAGAGAGAGGGTTTCTCTGGGACTGGGGAGCTCATACCACACTGATGATCCAACCTCATCGAAGAAATTGTTAACATGATCATTTTCCTTAAAAAAAAACACAGGTTTGTCAATCTTTTTTATTCTGTATTCCTGGTTTTCGGTTTTTGAATAAACCATTGTACAAACAAGACAAAGCAATGTAGCCTAGCCAACGTACCCTCACCTTCCTCCCCCATGTTGAACAGTTCTAAAGTTGTGATAGGCCTAGTTTCAAAGCCCACGCTGTTGTAATGCCGCATAGTGGCACGGCCACGCAATGTGATTTCGCCTGCTACCGATACCGGCAACTGGTATTGATACCGGGGGTTGGACGTGGATTTGCTCTGCTACTCAACACAGCAAGGTGTACTCAAGTATGGGAGTATACTCTCGACTCACAAGTCCCAGGATTTGGGTTTGGTACTGGGGTTTGGGAATACCTACTGGATTTGGTACTGGGATTTGCTGTTACTAATTTCCGGCAAATTTGACAGCCACTAGTATCAACTTAGCTACTGCACAAAATTATTGAGCAAACAAAACTTACAGTAGTAAAATACCCCAACCTCACATTATACATCTTTAAAGCTCAGGATCACTGCACTCGTGATGAAACTTCATTTCAGTAGTAACTACAGGATAAGTTTTTCTTCCAAATCACGGTAAAGACAGACCAATGATCAAAAAATACAAAAGTGTGTAAGGAGTGAAGGATGAGAAAACACTACTTTAAGGGTGGCTAAAAAACTGGGGAAAAACATATTGTTATATACATATACAAACACAGAATTAAGGCAATAAGTCAAAATAGAAAATAAGGAGAAAATGCATCAGATACTATTCAGAATCTTACATCCAAGCTTCTCCTTTCAGTCCCAATCATAGGAGAGACATTTTTTTCAAACTGTATTACCTATAGCTATTTCAGGCCAGAACATAGCCCCATGCGTCATATCACAGACATTCCTCTCAGTTCACAACACAGACTCCTCTCCATCCTCCACACAGCTACACACATCACAACACAGACGCTCCTCTCCATCTACCACACAGCTACACACATCACAGCACAGACACATCCACCACACAGCTACACACATCACAACACAGACACATCCACCACACAGCTACACACATCACAACACAGACATTCCTCTCCATCCACCACACAGCTACACACATCCCAACACAGACGCTCCTCTCCAACTACCACACAGCTACACACATCACAACACAGGCATTCCTCTCAACTTCAAGCCTGAACACAGTCACATGCGTCACTCCTTTGCTGCTCCCTTGTCCCCTGAAACTTTCTCCATGTCTTCCTTCAGCTGTTTCTCGATGATCTTGTGTCTGTCAATGAAGCCCTGTTTTCCCTTACCATATGAGTTCGGACCTGATGCAGTGGGAGTGTCCCTGGAGGAAATAAGCAGACAGCTCATAAAAACACTGCCATGATGGAAAACACAGACTCTCACATTAGAAGAAAATGTAACAAGTCATTTGTTAGGTCACTCCAGAGTGGTAAATCTTGCCTCTGAAGTGGAAACAAGATAGTTATAGAATTATTTCAGAAGGCTGAATACAAAATTGTAATCACACTGAGACTTGAATACATTTTTGTTCAACACATCTTCTTAATGTACAATTGGCAATCAACTACTGTATCGTGTTATCAGTGATGTAGCAGTTAGGTCCTTCACTGTTGCCTGCAGAGTTCCATTCTCAAGTGAAGTTATTTGTGCGGCATTGTGGTACAATCAGGCACATATAAAAATAATGAAATCTAAGAAACCATCATTTTACTTCCTGTTCGGCAATTTTTTATTGAATTTTTACTTTTTTGTCTAAATACTTTTTGTTTGCGTCCATTTGAAAACACATTTCTCTGTGGATTATATTGCAAACTGTTGATCAAAGGAACACAAAATGTAAATTTGCGGTTTCCAAGGACACCGAAACTTTGACGGTTATTTTCTGGCTCATTTGCCTCTGACACCTGGTGACCCCTACCTCCTTCAAACAAAAATATCTCGACTTTTGTACAAGATAGATGGGAAGTTTTTTCCTATCCCCTTGCATGCTTGGAGCCATGGATAAAAAAGCACTTCAACTCAAGTGTATTTATTTTTGAGTTGCACTCAACATAGCCATTTGACTTTAATGAATGTAAAGAAGATGAGGTGATGGTACCCGATAAAAGATCAACTTCACCAAAGATCAACTCCAGCAACTTCAACACAAGTGGAGTCAACTGTAGTTAGTAAGTACAAAGGAAAACAGGAATGGCACTTTGTCCATAAAACAAGCAAATAAGTGGGTATAGCTAAAGCAGCAGTGAACATGATGAAAGAGTCCAAAATAATTTACACTAAAAATAAAAAGACAATATAAAGAAATGTTTCTTTTTCAGATCATAAACCCTTTTTGGCAACACTTTTCTTGAGTGCACCATTTGAATAGTGAACATATTTAACTTTCACACAGTGTTATGAGATAACAAAAAGAGATGGAAAACCAATTTATTTCAGGCATATGCTCTAACCTTCCAATGTTTTTCATTCTCATCCGGGCCTCAGGTGGCATTTCTTCTTCATCATCGTCATCACTCTGAAAGAATAAAATGTCTTCATCGTCACTCAGAAATAATATAAATAAACAACTTCAGTTTGAACATCGAAACACACAATGTCTTTACACTCGCACTACTCAGTGCACTCATGTACCCTCAATATCAAAACACCTTTTTACTGCATATCTCAGCAACCTAGAGTAAAATACTGTACATCAAAGGAAGTTATTTCCTCTTTCCCCTAGTCATAAATAATGACAAATAGTACAAAATTATTGAAGAGAGATAATAGTCAAAAACTATATATATATATATATATATGAAAAATTGCCTCTAACTGCACAATTTCTTTTTTACATCATGATGCCTTCATCTTCATAAAAAATCAATACTGGAGATACTTTTTAAATCCAGGTAAATGTTAAATTATAAAGATGATAACTCGACAATGATAACGTGTTTGATTATCTTTCTTGAAGGTACATTCCCTGTGGATTGCTTATAAACACGAGGAAAAAATTCCTTCACCATCCCCATATATGTACATGTGGCAACTGGACACTGAAGGAACATAAAAGTCATGATGAGAAATTAGCATTTAGTCTTGGTAAGCAGATGTTGCAGTAAAAGGACCCACGAAAAATAGAAAAGTATGACATTCTGTTCTGATTCATCCAACCTCCCAGTTACACAAATTGTTCTCCCTGATGGGATTTACACCAAGGACAACCCAACTCTTGAGCACTACAGCGAAGTCTGACTAAGTCTCTGAAAAGGAAATCTCACACTTGCAGTATTATACAGTACAGCTGACAGGCAAGTAACAAGACGACAGCTTCTGATGGGTAGTACACGTAACTGCTTTGACAACATTCTGACAAGAGGGTCTGAAAGGAATGTAGAGGGATGTCTATGTTTGACCGCCCTATAACAGATAATAAAGAGTGCCAGAACTTGAAGAACTGCTGCAATACTACTCTAGCAAAGTCAGTAAAGGACTGTTTAGAATGTACAGAACAGCCATGCTGGTGCAGGCTGCTATAGTTGTAAGTGGGCTAAGACAAAATTTATTCAGCATTATAAAGATTAAACAGTAAGGCCTAGCAACGTTTTTAAAAAGATGTACTTTTCAGAGTGGCATGTTTATCAGTCGATTGATTCTCTTGTAGCACAGTAAAATTTCCCACTTTATTTTTTAAAAAAACCCATTAAAAATCTATTCCTGACAACAATACCCTATTTCTACAACACTGACACTTACAGCATCATCAAACACTTTGGCGGCCAGAGCACTCTTCTGCACAACAGGGGCGACATCTTTGGCTTTCTGACAGTGTGCAAAGAACACAAGAAAAACAATAATTACATTTGTGAAAAGTTTAGTTTTAGTAGAGGTTTTACGGCGCTCGCAACTACATAAGAAGATTAGAGGTGTTAAAAGAGAGTAACAAACATAAAAAGAAGAAGGGGAGATAAGGAGGATAGATGTTTGATAGGAAAGTAGAAGTAAACCACACCAGAGCACCCGCCAATCACCCACATTTGTAAAAAAGAGCATGGCAGCGAACAAAAACTTGTTTTACAGTGGGATACACTTGTTCTGAACATCCTACTGTGTACTTTATGACTCATCCATTTCAAACAATTTCAGGAAAAAACATTAGATCATTGTTGAATGTTGCAGTAAAACAAACACTCCTTACAGCTTCTGTCTTAACCCATCTTATTACAAAGAGATCATAAAAAAACCCCCAAAAACCCCCCCCAAACAACTTGATAATGTGTGTGTGTGTGTGTGTGAAACAAAGAATTATGACCACAGACAAGCAAACACAAGTGTAAACAAACTCACACACTTACACAAACCAGCTTCTAAACACAAAGTGCAAACAAAAAAATTAAGAACTTAATATTCAGTGAATTTTACAAAATCAGAAAGCGGCTAAAATTCTAGATTTGCTATAAAAAATGAATTGCATAACATCATAATAAATATGTATAAAAAACCCAAATGATCATTATGAAGACACAACTTTTACTACTGAAAAAAACAAAAAAAAAACAACCCCAAAAAGCAGCATACCTGCGCTGAGCCCAGTGACATTTTAATCGGTGCTGCTGGTTTGGAAATTTTCTCAGCACCTGCGCCAACAGTCAGCTTGTTCTGTGTAGCACCAACCCCTCCAAAGCTGAAGGAGATTTTCTGGGAGGGCACTGCAGGTTTGGGCCCTAAGTTCAAGCTGATTTTCTTCTGTGTAGGCGCATCCCCTGCCGATTCACCACTCGATCGTCGTTTCTCTGCTGTTCGACTTGCACCGTCCCCATTCTGACCTGCCTTCGCATCTGCTCCTGAGTAATGTGAAATACTGGGGGATTTGAGACTACGAGTCGAACCGAAAGAAGAAAAAAAAAACATCGCAGAGTAAACAAACTGGTTGTGGTGCTGCAATAGAGCAACTGTCATGATTGGTTTTTAATCAGTGTTCATTTTGACTCAAGGGCTCTTCTTGTCAATCAAAGAACAGCATGATCTAGTCTACATACAGTCGAACCTGCCATGGCGGCCACCTGTACAAACGGCCACTTTCCATTTCCCCCCTAGCGGTTTTTCTGTATGATCTAACGGCATAAAACAGGCACCTGTCAAACGCGGCCACAGCCACCCTATTTTAACAACCGACAACCAAATTTACCTGCCTGGCTTTGTAGAAAACTATGCATTTTCCCCTGACGCTGTGGACAAGCCCCCATAATTCATTCATCTGTCGTTATGTCAGTCCCTCCAATGGATAAACGGTCATGTTGCTAAGGTCGCTCCCAATGTTTACCCAAGTTGACCAATGGATAAAAAATTTTCAGTTGCTGGTAAGGGATAACCCATAAGCCCCGCCCTCAACTCAGTCCCTAAACCCGGTCCATATCAATAGAAGTCAACACAAACTCCGGACAGAAGTGTCGTTCCTTCACTGAGTGGTGGCGAACCGTTTGTCTCACTAATGGCAGTTGGTCTTTCTCGTCAGACATAGTTCGTTTTGTTTTGACCTTTCACAGGACTATAATTTTTAAAAAGTAATAATAACAAAACTAAAACAACAAAACCTCCAAAATTTCAATGTGCCCTACGGCAGTCCTAAGTCTGCGACCACATCCGGTTGAGATCTCACAAGTAATAAATGGTTTGTTTTCTTCGTTTTGCTACGTCCTGCCTAAGACGGCCACCTGTCTTATACAGCCACTTTTCTCCTCGACAATGCGTGGTCGTCTTACACAGGTTCGACTGTACTACATATGTAAAGGTTCATAATACAAATAAGGAGTGAATGATAAAAGAATATATATACATGTATATAAAAAACACTACACATTGGTATATCAGATTAAATTTTCGAAACAATCTTTTCAGTTTTGAAAAAAAGGACATTAAAGCTTAAAGGTTAAAGTACTAACACACACGATGTCAAATAACAGCACTGAAAAGAAATGGAAAGGCACTTTTGTTAAAAAATTTTAAAATCTTAAATAGCAACTTGACGGCTTGAAATTGAAAAGATAGCAAAACATGAGTGAGAAACTGAGACACTCCTAGACAGTTTGGATTTATATTATATTTCCAAATCTCTCTTTATATAGTATATAGAGTAAAAAAGGTAGAGTAATTCATAAGGCAAGGCGAGGGAGAAGCAACATACAACATACTAATATATTGGTTACTACCATTACAGACGCATATTATAATTACTTATAAATAGGCAGTCTAGCATGCACATGGTGAATTGGTGGGACACGGAAATCTTGATGTTACATAATACATACATTTAGCAATACAGTAGTCTCCGCCTAAGATCCCACCGCTTACGATCCCGGTTCGCTTAAGATCCCGTTGTTTTAGGAAAACAGAATTTTTACTATACAAAAGTCACCCCTAAGATCCCGCTCTGATGGTCTACATTCGGCTAAGATCCCGCACTTCAGATCATAATTTGCTAAACAAAAACCAGGGCAGGCACAGCCGATCAACCAAGAGTGAAAAGTTAAAATCAATAAACTGTCCGTCGCGTCAAAGATCAGCCACTATCGTGAATGTGATCACATACACGTTGTAAAACTCGATGAAGCGATACAATGTTTGCCCCAGACGGGATCACACCGGGGTGTGAACTGACCGACGCGTTTGTTTTCCCCACGCATCGCACTCACACCTGAGCTCGCCACCTAAACTTGCATCACTCGCTGGGGTGGGTAGGGCCTACACGTTCGCTCCAGGCGGGATCACATCGAACCGTGAACTCTTCCTTGACCATTGCAGCAGTTGTCTCTACCCCGAATTTGCGAGACAGACTGAATTTTAATTGGTGCGTTCACTACGTAATGGTGTGTAATGACAAAGGCGGTATGGAGGGGGGGGGGGGGGGGCTCGGTCAGAGATGGAAAGCTATAAATTTTTGACGGGTAAAAAGGAGGGGCAACTGGATAATCGTAGATCCTGAGACTCATGATAGGATAATAAGTGAAAATGGCACGCCTCATGCCACTATGCACCATGATAGGTCATCAAGGTTAACCATCCTTTGCTCGCCATATGTCATAAACCCACCAAGGGGGCACATCAGTTCATTGTAGAGTGGAGGGGGACCGTTTTACTGATTGTGAGCCTTAACATGGGTCACCATAGATTCTTCCCTGGGTTCGTTGGTTAAGATCCCAGTTCGCCTAAGATCCCGCATTTCCTTGCTCCGAGCACAGGGATCTTAGGCCAAGCTGCTGCATAGAATAAGAAAGTAATCTCCATTGAAGAGGAAGCACACAGGTACTTTTATAATTTATATATATTTATATATATATATATCACAAATGAAGTGCGCAGGCTAAATCAACTGCAGAATACTTCTGAATATCGCTAGCCACGTGATTCAACCGCCTAAGAGACAACAATTTCGGAAATCACTTTTTGTTCCTTTTATGTAGTACAGCCTTTGATACACCTGTCCTATGTTAAAATCCCAAGTTTGAAAAATTGCTGCAAAGTGTTTCAATCCTTCAGTAAATCAATCACCTATACCACACCAGTCCCGAATTTCCACGTGATTCAACCGCTCAAGTGCCGGTTTTGCAGCCCGGTAGCGAAGGAGCGCTTGAATCACGCAGATTGAGCGGCTTATTGAGGCGTTCACCTGTCGCGTCGGCAGCGCGACCCACATAACTATGGCTTTGTGGCCTTTGTCAAAACAGACTGGAGGGTAACATTAAAAAAAAGTGCTGCCTTTCCTAACTTCGACTCAGACTCCCTATCGATAGCCAGAAGATTTTCTCATGGCAGTTTGCGTAATCTATCAATAGGTTTGGTAGGGTAGTTGAGAGAGGGCAAGATGGCATCAGGGTTGGTGATCTTTTAAATTTAAATCAGATTTTTAAAATCTTTTTTAAAATGTCGACACAGTTTGGGATTTTTGGCGGCTAAAAGTATGTTCTTTTAGTGCAAAATGCATTGTCTTTATTTTAACTAATGATTAATTTAAGCAACTGCAAAAGAAAGCCTTAATCTACTATGTATGAGCCATTGCCAAAACGTGGGGGGAAACACACACATCTCACATTAGTGTGCATATAAAATGTGATGCATTAGTATCTCCAAAACTTATATAACACATGTCAAATATAGGATGTAGAACCTGCATTAGCAGTTTTAGACCCCATGTCAGCTTTACATTCTTGAGTTTGTAAATTTTGTGCCAAAAATGTTCGTTTTTTAGTGATTCCTGGACGGTCATTTTGAGCACACCAATGCAAACTTCCAAGAATGTCCAAAATTTTGTATTTTTTTGGTGGGTTTTTTTTACGTGTGCTTTGATCCTATGCTATTTGTTATCGACAAAGGAAAACTTGCTCAAGAAATCGGTTTATTTGTTTGCAAATAAACTAACAATTCGGATCACCTGTGCGTCAGTCGTGTCGTCATGGACTAGGTGTTTCAGAAAACACCATTATTTTTCAGTAGAATCACCGTAGCAGGTTAAATCTTTTTGCTTTTTGTCATTTATTCAATACTTTAAAAGCCGCGATGCCCGAATTCCTAGATCTACGATTTCTGTTGGCTGTTTAACATTCGCCAGGATTGGCGTCACTTTGCGACATACCGGAAGTCCGAATTTTAGCCTACTTTTGTTTTGAACGGATCATCAACAGTGCCCGGATATAATTGTTTTCTTGAGTGACTTCTCCTTACCCACTTCCCCAGAACAGCAGAAGCAACGGGGGAAAGAGAAAAACGAAAGTAGTAGTCATTGCCGTCAGCGTCCGGTGACGCACTTGTACAAGAATCTTACGTTGAATGTGACGTACTGGACTGTTTTGAGGGTTTTTAGGCTACCCTATTGAATATTTTAGTGAAATTGCGGTGTTTACATTGGATTCCTGGAACAAGAGTGTGATATGTGAACAAACTTCTAGAGATGGGTCATTTCTGCGGTTATAGATTTAGCTTTTGTGCTTAGTGATGATGTTTGGGGTGTCGTCATGCAGCCGTACAAGACTGACTGACGTACTAGAAATTACATTGTCCTAAGAGCACACATTTTTTCAATCATGTGTGCTTTCTTTACTCAAACTAATAAACAAACATGTCCCTTGTTTATTTGTCTAACTCAAAAATACACATTTGTTCTTTGTTGGTATGATATATGCCTTTTTCCAATACATTGTGTCATCATTGTTATGTACAAGTAATATTTGTCATCATTGTTATGTACAAGTAATATTTGTCATCATTGTTAATATCAATAAGTTTTCAACATATATTTCAAACATGCAAGATTCATTTAGAAGCAAAATATGCCTTTCTTTATTGATCTGTGTATCTCATAGTGCAAATTTGTTCTTTGTAGGCATGATTTTATCTTTTCCCGGTATGTTTTGTCATCACTGTTATGTACATGTACTGTTTGTCATAATTAGCAACATAATTGTGATAGTTCATAGTCTTTGATATGACCTGATATCTGTTTCAAAGCAAAAGAAACCTCTCCTGGTTTTTCTTTTATTCTTAGAGTGTGCATTTCTCTCTGGAGTACATTTCTCTCCATTTTCCTGTACACTGTGTCATCATTGTTCATGTACATGTCATGTTTGTCATCACTGTTATGTACAAGTCAGCTCCACTGATTTTGTGCTTTTGCCTCATATTAGTTTAAAAATTGTTTTACACTTGATGTGTTTTTCTGGTACTGAGGCTTTGATAACTGTATTTGTACAGCCTTTCACTATTGTGATGTGTTGTCAATGATAATGTCCAATGTGTGTTCTTTCTTGTACATAACTATGATGACATGTTCTGAGCACTGCGTCATTGTTAC